GGCAAAAAAAAAAAAAAAGATACGAATATTGTACATACAAACAATCTTCGTGTAAAAGTTGGATTACAATTCGACTGTCCACGGCGTGTATTCTTCCGCAGGTGGCAATTTATCTATCTGCAAAAGCGAATATATTAAAAGACCAAGACTTAAAAATTTAGATGCTTCCATCCTTAAACAAATATACTGGTAATGAAACTAGGTAATGTAACAATTAATTGTAAGAAAGTAAGTTTTTATTACTCCTTGGAAAAGTGAATCTTCGCAGAAAACGCGAATTTTTTCTGCAGTGGCTGGTGGATCGAATTGGAAATAGCCATGAAGACCGTTTTGTTCTCGATAAGCTTTTACTGCTTCACGAATTGCAAAATATGAACTAACACCGAGAAACAGCGGAGGCTCACCGATTGCCTAAATGTGCGAAATTGAAGTAAAAAGAAAAAAGTACCTTTGATAGAATAATTATAAGAAATTGTTCTTCTCAAATGATAAACCCAATTTTTACTTGAAAAATAATTAGTTCAGCTATAGCTTTTGTCACTAGACTTTCCAGTAAACTCCTTCATTTTATCACAACATGACTCCGTTACTGTGCTTCCAATACAGGAAGCATCTTAACACGTTCTTTTGAATAATGATAGGATTACCTTAGAAGAGAATATAGTATTTGGATTTGATGAACCTTTTAACAGTTTAACATTAAATTTTCGTGGAACATCATCAGCCGAAGGTATTTTGTAAGTACCTGGCCCTCTGGTTAAACGTGTTCCATCAGGCCTAATTTTAACTTCCTCCATAGTGAAAAGCCCGTATCCCTAAAGAAATATCAAAATCATTAATTTATCACGTAATATAATTCTGAAAGAGCAGTCTCATCTAAATGAAGTACCTGCACAAAAGCTCCTTCAATTTGACCAATATCGATCGCTGGATTTAGAGACTCACCAACATCCATAACAATATCAGCACGGAGAAACTGAAACCAGTATTGCAAATTCTGAAGTGGTGAATCAGAATTATTCCAGCCAACTAACCCTGTGATCTCCAGTTAGACAGTCAACTTCAACTTCACTGCATGCAGCACCATAAACACAGTAGCCAAACATTTCAGCTCCACGCCCGGTATCAAAATCGACTGCTTCACTATGAATTCTTAAAACAAGCAATTAATGATCATGCTGAAATAAAGCGAATAAAATTTCGCAGTTTATTTTCAAAAGAAATGGGTTGTTCTTGTGTTAAAAACACGGTAAAATGTACGTTGCGTGCCCGGATGCGAATAGTGGAATACGAGACAAGTAAGCTTTGTCAACTAGTTCTTCCCAGCTAAGTTCTGGATTGGCTTTTCTTAGAGGTTCAAGATACGCATTAATTTTCTTGCAAGCATCCTAAAAGTTTTAGATATTAAACAAGTAAATTGGTAAATTTCCCTTCCATGAAAAAACCGATAAACTGGCACCTGAATCGCCAATCCGTTAATGTCACTACCACTGCTAGCTGCAGTGGGACTGGTGTTAGGAACAGCGTCGGAGTTTGACTCTTTCAAAAACACTTTAGAAATATCTACTCCGAGACATTTAGCCGTAACCTATAGTATATTATAAGTTGTCTTAGCAAAAAGCAGGAATTTCAACTGCGTAAGTGCAGTACAGTAAGAATTAGGCTAAAAAATAGACTAACTTGCGTCAGTTTCGTGAATAGTCCTTGACCCATTTCGGTCCCTCCTTGAGCGACGAGTACAGTGCCGTCACGATATATATTAACCACAGCACCACCTTGGTTAAGGTGCTTGATGCCAAAACCGATTCCAAATCGATGAGGAGTTACAAAAATGCCGCGTTTAAAATAAGTGTTTCGCCTTAAAAGTAAGGTAACTAAACTTTGTCATCTTGGGAATAAAAAGATGCCCACTGAGGCAGGCATCTTATGCTTAGTAATTAACTAATAAATTTCTACATTAACAATAAAGATAATTAGATTGAATCAGCAAACTGTATCAACTTTTTCTTCTACACAAAGATGATGTTCTAGTCGTAAAAAGCAAGAATTTTTTAAAGAAATACACAAGAAATTTCTAGTTTTCAAACGATAAAATGCTGTTCAAACTTACAAATGCACCGCACCTGTTAAAATCTTTGACCGACTCACGTCGATTTTCATAGTCACTAAGTTCGAAACATTCGTCCCAACATCTTTTAATGTTATTCTTATGCAAATGCATACCGAAAGGTGTACATTCTCCCTCCTTATAAAAGTTCTTCTCACGCAGCTAGAACACATACGAATTAACATGTTGAATAGGAAATCACTAAAACAGAAAAATCACTAGGTTTAAAATCATTACTTCGTTAACGTCAAATCCTAATCGTTCTGCAGCCTCTACCATCATAGCTTCTGCCGTAATAGCACCTTGTGGACCTCCAAATCCTCTGAAAGCAGTATTTGATGCCAAATTAGTTTTACACATCAATCCTTTAATAGTAGCGTTTGGTACACGATATACTCCATCAGCGAAAACCATGGCACGATCTATAAAGCTACGATTGCAGATACACTTGCAGTAACAACTTTTTCTCAGAAACGTTTCTCTCACTTACGCATTACGCCAGGAGAAATGTCAAAGCTATGTCCACAGTTCGAGTACAGATTGCATTCGTAATTTTGAGCTTTACCCTCTTTACTCAGTCCCAACTTGTAACAGCTTAAGAATGGATGGCGAGTGCCTGTCACAGCCATGTCATCAAAGCGTTCCACCAAAAACTTGACTGGTCTTTTGAACCTTTAAATATCCACACTTGGAATATAGCAGTTTATGTAATGTAAAAAAATAATAAAATGAAAAAATTTATAAATCACTTCAGAAAAAAAATAAATTTTAATTAAAGGTATAGCTATAAGAAGAAAAAACTTTTTCGTTCAACCTAAAATTTAAATATTACTTTTTTGCAGCAATTGATGCAGGAACAGAAAATAACGGAGAAGTGCTCTCTTTTCCACCAAATCCACCACCCATACGCCTTACTCTTACAGTAATCTTGTGACTGGGAATATTTAACACATGAGAGATTTCTGCCTGAAAGTTGAGAAACAATGAAAAATTTCCTAAAGTATACTTCTTTTTTAAATTTTTAAAAAGAAAGCATGTAAAAAGTTGTTACTTTACAAGTCCAATTACCTGGACATCCGCAGTTGTCTGCGCCGAAACAAAGACTTCCAGTTCGTCGCCTTCGTGCGGTATGGCAACACAGTTGGAAGTTTCCAAGTAAAAGTGCTCCTGACCCCCAAGTTTTATTCTTCCTTCAATTACGTGGTCATACTTTGACCAGTCTTTGGTAACAGCGTCATGATCCCCATAGTTTGGTGCTAAGTCGCTGCGAACTAAGAACGGACTGTCGCGCAAATATGAGTGTGCTTTTATTGCTTGCTGAATTGTAAAAATTTTTGCTTTCAAGTATTTTATAAAATAATGTTATTAAAAAGTGAAAAATCAGTTAAATTCAGGCTCTTTAAAATAAATTCTGATGATAATAATATTATACTTCTATAGTAACAATTGGTTCTTCCGGTGTACACTTGACTTTGACTGCATTGGCAGCATTCCTCGCTGCGTCGTGACTGTCTGCTACTATAGCAGCTATAGGCTGACAGTGATAAACGACCTAAATGGCTTCATTCGAAGCACTGAGGAGTTCTCAACTTATAATGGACAGAATTAATTCCAAATTTTTAGCATTAAAAAAATTAGCCAACTCTCTTCTGCAAAACAAAATCCCATATAAAACCAAAAAAAAATTTGCAGTAATGTTACAACTTTCATAATGTAAAACAAGCGGTATACTTTGCACTTTTATCTGGTTACTGTTCTTACTTTACAATACTTCTTTTCTCACTGCTAAAATTGCTGACTGTCTTCTGTCCGCCGGAACAAAAATGTTTTCTCTCTTCTAATCCAACTTCTTCCAGCCCCTTCCCTTTTTCTTCTTATTCTTGCTCAACCCTCGCGGGAAATTTCCACTTCGGAACTTGTCTTTATGACAGCATAAATAAAATGGTCCCTTCAGTAACAACCCTGGTTCAATTTCTTGAATACTATAAAGGAAGTTTAAAAAACTGTAAAAATGCTTCTTGGTTCACCAGATACAGTATTTTTGATTAGCTGCAAAAGTTCTCAAAGAAAGAGGAGGTGTATGTGGTTCAATCCCACTCTCAAAAGCTAAGGAAATAGTCATAAACGAATAGTTTTTTTGCAAAAAAAAAATAAAGAAAGAATATACTATTATCTAAAATTCCACCTTGTCTTTCGCAAAAACAGGTGTGTCATGTACATGGCCCAATTTGGCATCAGTACGGACATCGTTATGATCTATATAGCCCCGAACTCCTGGCATTCTCAAAGCTTCGGTATAGTCTACAGACTGTATTGTGCCAGAAGCAATCGGCGACTGTACAAAAGCCATATAAAGACAATCTGAAAGAACAAAAATGTTAGTGTTTACATGAACAGGACCACAAAACTAATTTTTCCATTAAATGTTGCTGAAGTAACTGATCTCAACATTAAGATTTTGAAAATTTTTGTAGTATTAAGGAAAAAGCTTACTTGCCGGAATAATGTCGTCGCAATAACTTGCTTCTCCTGTAACCTGAACGTCACAGGCTCGATGTGCCAGTGGCCTGCCAACAGGATCGATTATACATCGGCCAAGTGGGACATCCTTAAAAGGTATTCAAAAACTGAAAGCGACAAAAGTAAATTAGGAACTGTTTTGCCCTGAAAGTTTATTTTACAGCGTGTACAAAGCAGAAGAGTCCCACTGAGACTAAACAGATGTTGTAAAACGAAAAGTTACATGATATATTTGTGTTGCTTCCAACTCTGAAGATAAGCTTTCTTCACAGCGTAATGGTTCATCACATTGTTGGTATCCTGGAACCTAAAATAGATTAATAAGGTGAAAATGTGTTACTGGAAAACGTAAATATCAGGACTAGCAAAAGCTAAAAAATTATTCTCTGATATATCCTCAAAAAGATTTCGGTAAAGTCTTTAAGAACAGTTAACAGAAATAAAGACATAGCACCTATAGAACTACATATATATTTGTGCCTAAAAAATGCCATTTTACAAAAAAGTGTAAATGTTTGTCAAGTATTTTAAGCAACACACAAACCTTCAGTTTTTCAGCAACATAGCTAAAAAATTTGAAGAAGAAAGATTTTGCTAAAGCCAAACGATATCGAGACATTCCACCAGGTACACCAGGGGGTAATTTCATTTCACTGTTTAGCCCATCTAGGGCTACCTTCAGTGTCTCATCGTCCCATTTTCTGAAATTCAGCTTTACTAATTTCCCTGAACAAACAGTCTTTTTTCATTATTAACACCCCACTAAAATAACTAAATGAAACCACCTTCCACATAACTTCTTCATCGTGCTTAATGCCATCTTTGTTGTAGGACTCATCCCTCCGTACGACATTCTAATATTCCGGATAATAAGCGTTTCAGGGTCAATATCAGTATAAAATGCACCTGTGACGATAGCAATATCATCTTCTCGTCGTTGAGCTTGTTTGTACGCACGAATAAAATCCGTCTGCAAAGGTACCAACCATTTTAGCTCAGTCGACTTCTAATTTGTAATATTCTAATTATACAGCCAAAATAAACAGAATAAAAAGCTTTTTGAAGCGTACAAAGAGCTTTGACTAATTTACTTGTTTACTGTACGGTACCCAAATCCCAGTAATAACTTCGTCCGGTTCAATAATCGTTTTTCGGTAACCTGAGAAGAAATTTTCGTCTATAGGAACAATTCGTTTTCCGCGGTCCTCCGACTCCAAGAGAATTTTAGCATTGAAAGCTTGCCATAAAGGATTCAAGTCACTAATAGGCGATGCAGTTGCTATATTTCCTCCAACACTCTAAAGTACGGCTTTACATTTAAAAATAACTGTCAATAACCATGACTTCATGTTTTATTCTTGAAGAATGACAACAATCTTTGCAAAAAAATTCTGACAAAAGAACGAGGCATACAGCTGTATTTCGAACGTGATTACCGGCAAACCAATGCAACATCTCGATGACAGCGTTGTGACATTTTTGTTGCCATTCTAAAAGAAAGAAACCTAAAGTATCCTTCTGCCTGTCAACTTCTGCCGTTCAAGCACTGAATAAAGTAGCCATATCTAAATATTTCACTTGTTAAACAAGCAAATTCATGAGGATTTACAAACCAGGTAGTTTTTCTCGGCTTTCATGCAGCAATTTTCCCATTTCATTCAAACTGTAACCGGTTCCGATAAAAGCGCCTTTTTCAGGATCTTCTTGGTATTGACGTAGCTCAGACACCTTGAAAGAATATCCGCTGTTTAGCATTACCTTGAAACAATAAAGTAATCCAGTCAGAAACTGACATACTTCTCGTAAGTAAATCGCGTCTTTAACGTCTTTGAACAAAATTTTGACTTCAACTCCAACTTCTGAATAGCCAGATATCAAACGAGCATGTGGTAACTGCTTTTTAAGTGAGAGCAGTTCTGCCAGAGTTTTTGGCTTGTTCCACGAACGGCCATTTTTTTTAAGTTGAAACGATGCGTTTGTTAGATTTTCAGCCTCAAAGGTAAGATAGTTTTTATCCTAGTTTTAAAAAGCCTTCGCCAAATCTTTTGAAAACTACCTTTATCAAAGCACCGTAGTCTGGCTCAGTAGCTGGATCAAATGGCTTACAATTTTCAAAGGTTGTAAGTTTGGAAAACTGAAATAACAGTAATTTTCAGATTAGTGGTTCATTTAAAAACCAGTATTTTTTTAGCTTTACAATTTTTAAAGCCTTACAGTTTTACGTGGATCAATATCAGTTGTCTGGCAGCTATTTTCAGGATGATAGTCTTCGCTAAATGAATAAAATGCGTCTAGAATTGGACGGTATCCGGTACATCGGCATAAATTGCCTGCAAGATCAGTAATTCTAGCATCATTTCTTTTAACATTAGATTGTAACTATTTTGTTTCATCGACTCTCTTCAATAAAATTGACACTTTTCTAGTTACTTCTGCACCGCTTAGGCTGTAAATACCCTAATAGCTTTCGCTGTCCAAGAAAATTGATGTATTCAGTAAGATAGGATAAAAAATAAGCCTTGAATGGCAGTATCGATGCTTTTTATTGTTGGTTTCGGATTATTCCTCAAAAGCGAATACATTGCCATGACGAAACCCGGAGTGCAATAACCGCATTGAGTACCGTGAGCGCTAAACATGTGGCAGTATTGAAATAATCTGTTGACGATGCTGTAGAGCCTATTCAATGTCAGTGTTTATATCGTTTTCTTGATTGAGGGAACAGCTTACATAGCTAAACGTTCTTGAACTGGATGTAAATTTTTGGAATTTCCAATTCCTTCGACCGTTGTTATCGCTTTACCAAAAACAGCACACACTGGCGTCAAGCAGGCATTTACTGAATAATTTCTGCAATTCCAAAGTATTATACGGCTGCCAAAAATAAAAGTTTTTAAAAGAGTTAATCTTAATTTTGTACAGCTTACCTTACATTTTTAGTTTTAGGATCTAAGTCTGTAACGGACACTGTACAAGCACCACAGCCACCTTCATTACAACCAATTTTTGTTCCAGTCAATTTTGCTAAATTATGAAACATTTTTCAATGTCATTTGTACTTATAAACAATTGTATGTACTGCGATTTCTTTCTCTAAATTATAGCTGGAAAAGAAGAATTGAATAGAAGCATAAAATCTCCACCGTTATCCCGTAAGTAATTGGCAAGTGTTGTCAGCGGATCGATATCTTTTTCCACAATTCGTTGACCATTTAGGAAAAAAATTAGCTGATTGTGGTCAAACTGACTTGCTGTTCTATCGGTGACGGTCCCATTTTTTCGACAGTGATGCTTATCAAAGCTACCTTTTTGTGACACCAATAGTTTCCTGATAAAGAAAAGGGTGAAAAAAATAGATAATAATCTG